AACTGCCATTATCTTTACTATCACTGTGCAACACTGGTTCAATTTCAATGCAGTCTGTCTCAACGTTTGACAGGGCGCCCCACAGACAATGTGTCGGCAAAGTTTGAAAAATACATCTTGAGTTATCACACTAATGAGAAAGTGTCTATGGTGAAGGCGGAATGTTACACTGACTTCCAACTTTAGGGACCGCTAAAAAAAATTAGCTTAAAAAGTTAAATGTGAACCATTCGGTAATAGGTTTACAATGTAACCAGCAAAGGTGATTTGGTTTGCTGATGTTAGAAACTGAGAGTATGAGTGACAAGGAGTAAGAAAACGATTTTAAAAGGATGTTATATACTATACTATAGTAACTACTCATCCCCTTCATGATTAAATAGCATTTCTATAGCATGGCTATAACTGTGCTGTAGTAATAACGATACACAGAAAACTAAATCAATATGGAATGTTGGACTCCGCACAAACACACCATGATACTGAGATACCATCTTTGGATTAATAATACAGAAAATAAAATGACAATGAAAAAGCCTAACAAGGTAGCTTGGGGTATATACCAGACATACAGCAGATAAATACAGGAAATAGTTTAGATTCTTTGAACAGCTCCAGTGCCACAATAACATCACAGAAAAAAAAGGGCAGACATAGTAACCACTCCAGCAACTACTGCCTACATGAATGCATGGTCTGAACCGCATTTATCACACAGTAATACTGTATCGATAATTATGGCAGTTTTTAATCCCATTCTGGATGTGTGTGGAGTTCTCTCCTTAATGTGAAATAAGCCATAAAACACACGCTTCCACGGGGGCGGAGCCTGGCAGGCACACATTAGAGAATGAACATAAACAGGTCAATGCAGTGAGAGAAAACCAATCTATTAAATGACTTAGACTGGGTAGTAGTACACAAACCAACCGTATTTCAGCTGAGACGTTACAGTTTTATGGGCATCCTCTCAATGGGCTCCCACTGATTTTGCATAAAAGCTAAACATTGTAGCTCTAATTAAGCAAGAGGAAAAAGGTCTGGCACCAAACTGGGGTCCAGGTTACTGGATCCAAACGAGACAGATCACACGCACATACACATGTGATCAAGAATGAAGGGGCAGGTGCAGAAAAAAAAAATCAATACTAATAAACTTGGTTATCTGACTCCCCCAAAGATGGTTGAGTCTCTGAAAATTGATGCAAATCCATTATCTTTCATCGATTCTTGTCACAAGCCCAAACACACACCTGTCTCTGTTTATACGGGCAGACAGAAACACACAGATCTGCCAAAATCAGGTTCAGGTGCTCCTCAATTTTGATAGATAAAAAAGTGAAAGAAAACCAATAGGTCTCCACAAGCACTACAACCTAGCTGACATTTTTCTGGATCCCACAAAGGGAAACACAATTTAATAAAAAATCTGTGAATGCTGTCAAAAAACTAAAAATGTCAAAAGTCTTGTATTTTGTTTGGTTACTTATGGTTAAGGTTAGGGCTGGGTTTGGGTTAAGGTTGTCATAGTTGGGATTAGTGTTTTGCCCATAGGAATGAATGGCCAGTCCCCACAAAGTTATGAATACAAACCTGTGTGTATTTCTGTGTGTCTCTTTCTTTCCTTCGATTTGGGAGTAATTACCTTAATTAGTTCGTTAAGATTAGGACTGGTTGTAGAATTAATGTTTAGATATTACGTATGCAATGCAAATGGGAACTGTAAAGACACATTTTTGTGCCACACTTTTTAAAGGGACCATTCAATGTTTATAGTTCTGTGGCAGCATAACAGTCATACAGTTTTATGAATTACATGGACTACCACCATTGGATGTGTATGAGGCTAATGAGAAGCACAAAACCTGTGATATCAGCCAGGCAGCTCTTTAAAGACAAGCTAATATCCCGGTGAAACGTCAGTGTGACTGATGAAGACACTTTAAAGGCAGGGAAGCAGGAATAATCACGGTATAATTTCCTTGCCATTAACGTTACTTTCCTTGCTGATGTCCAGCCAGAACAGAGAATTAGAGAAACACAGCATTTCAGAAATAGTCTAGTAAAGAAACGTAATGCATACACAAGACACACCTCACTACACTACTTCTAAACTACAGAGTAAAGATATGAAATTTACTTATACATGCATATGTATATTGAGTCACATCAGTGACATCTAGGGCTTTTTTATGTTAACACCCACCTTCTCTTCTGTTATTTGGTTTTCAAGCTATGGATGAGAACATAAGAACATGACAAAGTTACTGTTACAGCCTGTTAATAAACGCCATAACTATACAGAACTTGTAGGGTCACGTGTCCATCTGGTACAACCTGCACATTCACTGCTATCCCGTTCTGAGCTACCTTTAGTCACTACACAGGCCCACAGTCCTGTAAAGACTGAAGAAGCTTCAGAAGGTAAAGCTAAATGTATTTCTGTGATAGGCTTGTGTATGTCTTCTTTCATCACTTCTCCAACGGCATCAGGAGGGAGCAAACATATTTTACCTTCTTACCAAACTAAGGTTATTTATACGCCCACTCTTTCTATACTCTGTTATGGTCTTAAATCATAAAGGCACTTCCTCTGACAAAGACCTTCTCTCTTGGGAGTAGTTATTGAATACCGCAGCGATGCATCCGAAAGTATTTTCCCAGGTTACACATAAGATTCTCAAAGCAGCTATAACTTATGTGCTGTGGGTGTCAAGGTCAGTTGCAAAACAGTTATCAGCATGAAGGAGCTACAGGGAACAATTCTAAAGGGTAACATGAGCAGAACACCACAAACGCTGCCGGGGCTTGGATTCATCCGTCTGGTCACTTCCTTTGATACTTTGACAGGAGACACATAAATAACTTTGGTGTCGTTGGGAGTATTATATACTTTCCCCCACAGTTATTCCAATTAGCAACTGCTGTAGTCAGTTACAGTAGAAGGATGTTGAGAAAGATTTGACATTCACATTGAAATTAGCATAGCAGAGGTTTTCGTTGGAACCTGGTGTTGACACAACTCAGTGTTGTTTTTCCGAAAAATACTAGCACTGTTCTTGCCTTATTATATCCACTTCCCAGGGCTGGATGTCAGCTTTAAATTTCTCTTGCCACTGGCAGCCATAAACACATAATTCTCCATCCTCTACTAAGTAACTGTAGCATCTTTTGTGTGACTGTCGGCCCCTACTTCTGAATTCCAAAATATTCCGCACAAACTAATGCTGTCATTTTTTCCCCAACTTTGATTCCCACCCTGTGGTGTTTCTCATCCTCAGCAATCGCCTAAAACCCATAATCAAGAAAAAGACAATACGCCTCATTAACACTGCACGACAAAATTGCATTTGACGGCATTTTCCCCACAGCATCCTTAAATCTTTAGCTGACAGAATTATACCCTAAAACCATTAAACTGAAGATGAAAAAATCCACATAACTGGATGTTTCTTTGGATTGACTCTTTTGCTTTATAACCACTTAAAACCACTAAAATAATTGTGCAAGTAGAGAGTAAGATTAAAAAAATACAGCTAAAGCGATGTCGATGATGATGATGATGAGCTGTCATCATTCACCATCCAAGGTTCAGAGACCCACCTCTTCTTCCTCCTCTGACTCCACAAGCTCATCCATCTCAAACGTAGCAAAGAATGAAAGAAGGCAATTTATTCTGTCTCTCACTTTGGATTTATCCCAGGGTCTAGAGATTCTTAGCTTCCACAGGCTTCTGCAGCTCAGAAGTGCTTAAGTAACTCATCTTTAGAGTCTGGTGTCCATTTTCAGAATAATAGTGTTTTAGCCAGAGCTGGAAAGACCTGATATGAAGCAGATTTGGGGATAAGTACAACAGCCCCACCACTGAGGGCTGGTGAAGAAGTCAGGGACATACACTACTGGGTAGGAGCCCTAACAATCTATGAACTAAGATAATTTTCAATCCCATTAAATACTTCATACATCCAAGCCAGACCCACTGCTACCTTGAGAAAAGCTCTAGTCCTAGTGACTCTACAATCTAAAGGGCATTATGAAGCTCTGTAAATGTATGAAGATGTTCACTAAAAGGAAGAGGCTGAGGGTTTGTCATCAGGGAACAAGTTTTATCGTAGGCGCTACACATACCATTGCCTGCTGTACAGCAATCTGAAGGAAACAAACAACTTACAATACGTGTGTGAAACAGGAGACATTTCAAAGCTAATGCTTCACTGTTACTTTTCTGAGCACATTCCTAATTTAAATACATCAGCAAAATAGCACAGAGACGTGTTATAAAGTATAAAATACGATTTGTAAGCATCAAACTGAAGCCTTCAACAAAAGCAGGGGAATATCTTAGATTTTATACTGCACACAAACCCTAATCAAAACGACCAGTGCTAGTCCTAGTGTAACAAAAATCAAAAGCATATTGAATTTTTCAACAGGAATTCATAATTCATAATTGGCAGAGTGCAGGATTTATGCAGGAGCAGGGCATTCCCAACAATCTTATGATGACAGAGGGCATTATCAATATTAAGATCTGAAGATGACAGAAGCCATGTTTGTTAAGGGAAGCTGCCAGTTGTCACAACACATAGTAAATTGTACGTGAATCATCCATTTACAAACAGATCCCAGAGCAACAGAAACCAAAATGGATATCAAATGAATACAGATAAATACACAGAAAACTATTGGCAACCAAGATAATAGCAGAATCTGCACATTGTGGCAGGACAATCACATGTACTGTATGCATATGAATGTTTACATGATATATGGATTATACACTACATTATTCGTTTTAATGGAGGTATCCCTGTTGTATTTTGAAACATTATATTTCTGCAGGCAGAATATCCTTGAATTCATTTCTTCTGGCAAAAGATTATTCTCTAGATAAATAACAGTACACAAATGGAGAGATGCCTATTCGTACTCACACACCCAATACAAAGAGAAACACGGTCAGGCCCTTGCACCCCCCCCCCCCCCCAGCCTCCCCTAACCTGTTTGGCACCCATGGACTCGAACATCTTCTCCAGCTGGACACGAAGCTGCTGCACATTGTTCATCAGCACACATGGCTGCAGAAGTGAAAAAAGGGAGTAGGAGTATCTTTCAAACGCTATGCTATATTATGCACCATACTCCTGAAATGAGAGTCGGCATTGGGATCCATCCCAGGACTTACGATTTTCTCTTTGTCGCAGTAGGAGGGAAAGCTCTTGGTCAGAATGGCACAATACTGCAACAGGACTTTGGCAATGGTCTGTCAAGTGAAGGAAAAGGCCAGACTTAGTAGAATTTCTGAACCATAAGAGAGAAATTAAAAAATGTAAGCAGTGTCAAATCAAGCAGCAGTAGGCAAATGGGTTTCTTAGGTCAGTTGTTCTATTTTTAATTGAATTTTTCCTTTCAATAACTGTGTTTGCTAAGCAACTACATTTAAAAATGTGAAATGCTAGTCTTCTTTTGGACAAATGAGAGACACAAAGTATAAAGGGTATGAACGGGAGCTATGAGTTTCTTCCCAGTTTCCATCTGTCTGACAATCAAAAACAATACTGGGGAGGAAAAAAAAGCTCAAACGCGACCAAGCAGCTGTAACCAAGGGCTGCTGAGAGATTCAGCGTCTAATACCGTATTGTTGTAAACATGCTATAAAAACTGGTTTGAAAATATATGAACACTGTTGCTTGCAGCCAAACCCTGTCAGGCAAATAAACAATCTAACATAACAGTGTCGAGCCAGTAGGGGAAGGATCCAAACCAGCAATCCATGTCACTCCACACTAACAAGGCAGTATTTTATAGTGACACATCAAGCAGGCTGTGAAACACGAGGGAGTGGATGAATTGTTACAAAAGATGACAAAGCCTAGCATTTCCACAACACTTATTGCCTGCACCCTCCCATTCTAAACTGGCAGAAATAAGTCTGTTGGCATCCCTGCCCTCATGAATATTTCATGAAGGGACCAGTACACTGAAGCCTGAGCCCAATACCCTGAGAACAATCTTAATAATGGCACACGTGCCTCTGGCTTTTAGGGACATTTGAAAAATGGTTTTCAATTAGCCAATTTTAATGAGAACATATTGAATTCCTATCATAATGAGAAAGTCCTTACTCGTTGAATCTGCCATTGCTGAGTTTCACTGGAATTTTATTTCTGCAGCTAATAACTCACATTAAAGTCTACATTACGAAAAATAGCCAAAGGATTTTTCACACAAAGATACTCAGACTGATCAGGCTTACAGTTGCGCACAATCAAAAGTGATGTAAGGTGGAAAAGGCTCATGTTCATAGTGTAAACATATTTCATAAATGAAACGGCGTGTATGTTTGAACCTGGGTGAAAACAGCCACATGCCATCCCTGCCCCCAGCTTCACAAAAGAAAACGTGAACACTGTGTTGCACGCATGGTTGCACGACACTTCAAGGTTGAAGGTGCCAAAGTGAGATACAAATCTAAAAGTTAATGTACATCAAATGCAAAATGTACCTTTGTTTTAGCAATAGTTAGCTAGCCAAAGGCACACAGTAATCTTGCTAACGAACATTAACACTAAATACAGGGCTTGAAATTCACTTCTCACAATGGGGGAGAATTCCCCTCTTATGTGTAGCGCATGGGGAGGATTTGAGCGGATTCAACAGCGTTAGGCTACGTCTGCACTAATGTGTTAAAAAAAATTTATGAGGAAAAAGATTTGCATCCACATAACCGTTATCACTAGTGTTGGGGGAAAAAAAAAAAAGTTTTGCATCCAACTTCAGCACTTAAAAGGCAGATGACATAGCTTATGACGCATTCTAGCCTGCACTGGGCACACGCACTTACCAACTTTACATTGTGTCATTTACTCATTTTTTTGTCCAACCAAATTTTTTTATAATTCTATAAGTGGTGAAGTATATATTTTGAAATATTTGTTTTGATTTTGATTTGTAATAAAGTTCCCACAGATGTAGGCGTAACAAAAATGTTACGTTTATCCACACTGATGTGACGACCGAAAGATTAGTTACTTTAGCTACTTTAGATCACTGAAAATTTTCTCCACTTCTGAGAAAAAAAAAAACGCAGTAGTGAGGACGGAAGGCTAAATCGGAAGAAAATGTTTGCATTTCTAAACGAAAATGTATTAGTGTGGATGTAGCCTTAGTCATGGAATTTTTGGTGGAATAGCTTTGTTGGCTACTGACACCTGGGTGCAATTAGCATCTGTCAAAATGTAAAGTAGCTCATTTGAGTAACAATAATGAAGCAGTTACCTTAGCAAAGCGTCGGCTGTAGTGAGCCAAGACTTTGGGGTCAGGACAATCAAGCTTTTTGATGATCTCAAAGCTCTGGTTGAGCTGGGTGAAGATGTCCACAACCGAACAAGAGAACAGGGCATGTTCTGAGGTTTGCTGGAACTGGGGAGTAGAAATAAGATTTATCAGCTCTTCAGTCTTAGACATACAAAGTGAGTACTGCTTGACAGCTGCACGTACGAGTATTGTGCTAAATTAACAACCCGTACTAAATTAACGAAACACTGATTATTCACTGGCCACACTGATATGGACACATTAATATTCCCCAGATTGGGGCAACCTACTACAGTCACAGAAATGTAGTTCTCACACGCACACACACACACACACACAATGTCCTTCAAGATGCAGGTGACTTTACGTATATCTACAGAACTGTATGTTAGTCCTGTGGATTTTGTATTTGTAAGTGTGTTTTTGCTGTAGAATACTGAATTGTAAGAAGTAGCAGTCTTTGCTGAGCCTTTATATAAATGACTATACATACTCCATCTTTCTTGTCTCTCTCTAATGCTCCATGCATGAACTCCATGGAAACGTCCTCGTTCTCGTCTAGCCACTGCAGAACAAACTGCAGGAACCACCTATAAATATAGATATATAGAGACAGCAATAAATACCTACGGTACTTAGGGGAAGTATGAGCACAGTATAGATGCAGGTGGGAGCGAAAAGCTATTTTTTGGGGTTACTTTTATAAAATTTTTATTTTAATTTCATATTTATGGCCAGAGTATTAGAAATTAGGGAAACATTAAAAAGACAGCAGTAAATATTAAAATTGGCTGCTTAGTATTTTTCTCCACATTTATTCTATGAAATGATGCAGCACAATGCATACAAGACGTTGGCACCCTGAGTAAGAGGCTAGCCATAGCCACTCACGCGGGATAATCTGGAATGACTCCTTTGAAGGCAGGCAGGTCTTTCACATACTCATTATACAGCCATTTCACCTTGAAGTGCAGGTTCATGTAATCTGCACACTTACAGAGCCTGTGCTTCTCGTGCTCTAGAGAGAGAAAGGACACTAAATTAGCATGCAGAATGACAATGAAAGGCCAGCTCCTGTTCAGATACACAGATTAGCCAACAATTATCACCTTCAGCAAATGTATGGGCGCGCGAGTTCACAGCTGTGACTCTGCAGATTGCATGTTAACGCTACAGTATCCGATCATTCAATATCCACAATGCAATATTTTGCTGCACACAGACATATTGCCACAATTCATCCCCAAAATATCCCAAATGCCTCCTGTTTAATCTGCCGAAATTTTTCGTTGAATTATTGCTTTTAAAAAAGGAACAAATAAGGAGTATCCAAAGGCAGCAGAATGCGAGGATACTTTATTGGCCATTGGACCGGTATGAGTACAGGTACACAGTAATGTGGTAATTTCTGCTTATATTCTATCTTGCTCTCATATAAAGCTGAGAGCCTGGGGCCTGAGTGCAGGGTCAGCCACTTATCCGGTGCCCCTGTGCAGGTTTCGGGGTTCGAGGCGTTGCTGAAGGGCCTAACATGATAAACATCCAACCAAACAAGCCTAACCCCACTTATACATCTAACCATGAGCAGCTCCAACATTCACAAAAGCAATAATGGCACTTTTCCACTGGTATACAGGAAGCGACCCGTACCCAAGCCGCACCGCGAAGAGAGGCTAGTGACAGCATGGTGTCAGCTCGCATATCCACCAAACTCCATAATCATACACTTTAGTCCAAGTGCAGATCATCTCCAGACATGTCAACGTCAGACATAACAAGCATCCAGAGGGCTGCTCCTATCCACTGTTGTATCTGATACTCATCTTATATTTGTATCGGGTTCACTACTAAAGCTACATGTCTGCAGGAACAGGAAAATTGACACCACTAGGCCACCCAGCCAAGGGTCCAGATTCAAAGCCCCAGGCATCATAATGTGAAGGAGGAAGCACAGGTTCAATCTCGAAGGAAGCAGCCTCACCATCTCACAGGCCAATACAAATACATTTAGTAGTTGTGAAATCACACAAACCTTAACTCTGAGAAATAGGCAACAAGCCTTACCCTCCATTGCATACTTCATGTCCTGGGAAAAGAGTGTCCACATGACCTCTGCAGAAACCTTCCCCACATTTAGCTCCTGAGGGAACCTACAACACCGAAGACAAAGGAGGAAACACTCCAATTTGGGTAAATGAGCTACCATATAGGGCAACACATTAGGATCAATGAAGTCAAATGTTGCTGCAGTTGAGCTAATGAAATGTATTTATACTGACTGGTTGAGAACTGGGGTGTAGGAACTCCTGTCCTCCTCAATGATTGATACAATCAGGGTGATGAGTTTGGGCCAGAAGTCCAGGTTTTTGATACTGGGGCCCTGTTCTTCCAAAGGCAACTCTTTGTCCTGAATCAATATTGTGATATTAATCAACCAAACACAATGTAAATTCAACATTAGTCAATGAAAACACCTGTGTGGTTTTGCAGAAACTGTAACTGTGAGGATGCCGTCACAGATTGAAAGATGACTGATCCAGGGTGTCTGGACATTAAAAGAGTTGGAGACCTTTCAGCCTCCTGCAGGATCTTGTTGCAATTAACAGAAACTGAAAGAACTGGACTGCAGAACTAAAAACACAAACAAAATGAGAAATAAAAGAAGTTACATTAAGAAGTCTTCAGCAATCCTGCAAAGGGGAGCCATCTTTTTCAGAATAAGTGCAGTGTGTACAGTACTTTGCACAAACCTCCCAGTAGTTAAGCACTCACATGTCCTGCTGGCTGATACTGACGAAAGTAGAGTTCCTGGCAGTTGTTGAAGATGTACTCATAAGTAGAATTTAGACAGGCCTTGACACAGTCATGCACCACCTGACTGGCCCTGGGGGGGCTCTGTAATTCCTGGACCTATCCACAGGGCAGAGATGATCAGCAAATCAGACCAATATAGGTAGACAAAATATCTACTATCACATGCAAGTTGATTTTTGCTATGCAATGTTCCCAGTCATATTGTGCAAGCCTACAGTGAAGAAACACTTAACACATAATATGTGTAGTGATTACAATCCACACACACTCACGGACATATTCATAGCCTAGCCATAAATTCATGCATAGAACAGGGCAATGCCTAATTTACAACACTGCCCCATCTTAAAGATTCAGTCACGGCTCAAAGAGACCAAAAACTCTCTGATATCCACGTCACAGCACAACCAAGTGCTTTAAAAGGAGCTCAAACACAGGAGTTGACGATGTACGCCTTCATAAATTTATCTACCTTCATCCTGAAGAAGGTGATGCTGGTCAGGAGGTCCACAGTAGACTTCAGGTCCTGTAAACGTTCCTTGCTGCTGGCTGGAAAGTTGTTCTTTTGGAAAGAAATATGAGATGAATCAGTGGTCAGTCCAAAAGCCACCCAATTAAAAGGGTGATGGATTTTGATATATTGGAAGGTTCTCTTTCCTAAGCCAGGACAGCGAAACACTACATGATGATAACTCAATTTACACAATGTACAAAACATTCAGAATCTCTTTCTGAGTACCTTATTAACAACAAATAACATACCAATAAAATATTATACTTAAGCCCTTTTCTGCTATATTGCACTGCATCACCTTCACATGCTAATAATCTGGTGAGCCTTCCCACTCTGACTTACGCGATACATGGAGAGGTCGATGCGTAAGGAGTTGTGCAGCTGGTCTAGAAGCTTAACGAAGCGCTCTTTCTGTGGGAATGAGGGAAAACATTCATACATTAATTTTTGAGTAGACATAGAAGTTTCTCAGCGATGGTAATGCATACTGCTGCCTCACTCATCTACAGTTACTCCAGAATCTCCCCACAGTTCAAAGACATGCAGTTAGTTTGTGTCTGTGTATTTTCCACATGTCATGGACGGTCATCCCATCCAGGACATACCCCATGCAACCTGGGATATACTCCAGGTCTGCCTACAACCTCGAGCACAATAGGCAGCCGGAAAATGGATGAATGTAATGCAATTTCACTTAATGACAGACTTAAAAAAATATTACCACAAATTAGCAAAAGAAAGGCGTTTTTATAGCAGTCTATAGGAAATGGAAGGAAACCCAGGAATTTTAATAGAAGCTGATGGGCCTTGGGTTTGGGACCCATTCAGTGTGGTAATGCTTCACAGCTGTCCAGCTCGCTTTACATGTCATTCTCTATGTACAGTACACTTCTTCAATAATGACAAAATGTTGAGAAAATCATGATGATAGCTAATAATACTGGAGGAAAAAAATAAAATGCTGCACAATTTCACAGCACCAATAAGTGGGCAGAACTGTATTAAACACTAAAATGATAAAGGGGAAAAAGAGGGACAATAAAAAGACAAACAAACGATGTTCTGCGGCCAGTGACTCCCAAAGGAACACAGTTAATCTTCAGGAAACCAGTTAAAATGTAGTGCAGACCAGTAGGTGGAGCTCCAGCCATCATTCCAGTGAACACTGCTTTTTCTCATTAATGATGTCTAGCATAATCAAAACTTTGCAGGCAAGATGCACATTGTCCTCATTGACACATCAGAGCAAAAAAGCCCTCAGTCCTGGCGTCTGTATATCTACAGTATTGCTGCATCTTTAATTTGATGGGAAAACAATCTTCAACTTACCACACAGTGCATACCTGGTATGTTCATATTTTGTACTTTTAACCCTGGACAGTCAGGGCTCTATCTGTAAAAGCTAGGTACATCATATAACAATATATATATATTTAATTCAATAATAAAATATGCTTTTTGGATAGGATGAATATTGGGATGAATTTAAATAATTAACAGAGCTATGCTGTGAAAGCACAGTACCCCGAAGTTTGAAGCGGCGAAGCGGTCACTGGCAGACACGTTGGTGGACGCCGTGGTGTGGGCGTAGAAGGCGTTGATGTTGGCCAGAAGTGTGCTCATCACTGCAGGGACCCCCGGACACATGTACTTGGAGGACAGGCAGGCAAAATGCCTGCGGGGGGCAAGACAGAAGTAGTGGGTTCATGCAGTACAAGTCTAAAGTATGGTCACGCCAAGCTGCCCACTAAGGAGAGCGATGGTGTCGGATCACATGACCTGCCCACCTGACCTAAACACAGCAGGAACAGCTTTGGAGAAGTTTGACTACAGAGTGAAGGAAAAGTGGCCAAGGAGAGCTCAGCATAAATGTGGGAGCTCCTTCAGGGCTGCTGGAAAAGCCTCCCAGGAGGCCGCCTCATGAACGAGGCGTAGGGGAGAGCGCAGGGTCAGCCAGTCCCTTGGGGATAAGGGCCTTATAGTGGCACCACTCTGCCAACCATGAGATATGAACCGGCAACCTTCTGAATCCCAACCTACAGAGCTGCCCCCCCACATCTCCTACAAATTACATTTTAACACTTTTTTGGTCAGTGCATAATTCCTTATATATGTTTTATTAATTTGATGTCTTTGTAATTATTTGTAGAAAATAGTACAAATAGAAATTTCTATGGGTAGGTGTGTCCAAACTTTTGACTGATACTGTGCTCAACAATACAAGTCTCCAGGTAAGAGCAGATGAGCAGGCTCCACATTATATATGTAAAGTAGGTCAGGTGGTTAAAGCTGAGACACTCAGGATGCCCAGCGTCTACTGTTAGAAGATTGGCTACCACATTAGTCAACTTTAGACCAAAGATGAAATATTAACAGTATTAAAGCTTTTTAAGGCACTTCAGATGGATGCATCAAGGCAGAGTATATTACACTATACAAAATCTGCAAAACAAACTCACTGATACTGCTGAATCCCTAAAATATATATTACACCTCTTTACTCCTTTGTCATGTTTAAAGGAAAGTTGTAACTAAATGTTAAATGTTGTGTATACAGATCTCAAAAATTAGACATAAAGGACGTCCGATTTTCAAAAATGCTGCCAACAAGAAATTTATATCGCCGATTCCGAGGCTGGGTGCCAGTGCCAGTGCCAGTGCCAGTGCCAGTGCCAGTGCCAGTGCCAATGCCAGTGCCAGTGCCAGTGCCAGCGCCAGCTTTTCGTTTTCAAATAGTTTATAACTGAATATTGTAAAGCGATGAGAACTGCGCATCCCCAAATCGCAGTCCTCATCCGGAGGGCAGGACAGCAGTGAAGTGGGTAACTCTACAGGACTTAAAAAAGTCCTGCTCTCCATGAAATGTCAGCTCTGAACACAATTACCATGACCGGTTCCTGTCAAAAGAGATCTGGCAGACCGTAAGCAACAACTCATTTAATGTCCACAATAACAAGGCATCCGAAAAGCAACGGGCCAGCAAGATATTTTCTTATTGACTTAGACAATCCAAAACTAAAGCTAAAATATACATTTCCAGGGTCATTGAAACGAAACTGAACGTGGAATTCAAATGGAAACATCAAAGCCAAATAGAATTATAAGTAGAAAAACTAAAAATAACCTTTAGGCAGGAGGATTCGTATCTTAAGAAAAAAAAATGAGAGAATATAAACAAAAAGTATGCTTTAGCAGACACAGTAGGGAAAAAACAAGAAAGACTCACGTCATAGCCTGGTAGATGGACTCAACCCCATAACGCATCGCAAACTCATCCACAATCTCCTGAGCCACTTCATCAAAATACACCTTCCATCCATCATCTCCCCTAGAATCTGGGATCTTGACAACACCTTGGCCCAGAACGTCCGTGGAATGATGAAACAGGTTCTGGTGAGGAAGGCAGGGAGGCAGAATGAGTTTGAACGGTTTCAGACATGGTGCCGTACATAACTGGTTGATTTATACTTCTGGGTCGATCGACGGCGATTAGTACAATGTAGCCGAAGTCTACGCCATAGCCTGACGTATACAGTATCTCCCCAGAAATGTAAATACAAATCACAGCAACACAGACCACAAGAACTGTGATTGGTCCACTAGGTAGCATTTGGTTTTTTTAATGGGGACGAGGAAGGCATACATCACAGGTGTACCTATATTGCTGACTGAAACTGAAGTGCTATTTGTATCTAGCATTAAATAAGCCACAATAGACATCATTGCCCTGCGATGGGCTGGCCCCCTGTCCAGGGTTGTTCCCTGCCTCGTGCCCATTGCTTCCCGGATAGGCTCCGGACCCCCCGCGACCCAGTAGGATAAGCGGGTTGGATAATGGATGGATGGATAGACATCGTAGTAACAGGTATACAAAACATTCAGGATGACAGCAACAATTTCTCTTACATCCATTAAGCTTATTTGTATTATGTTTATTTGTATTTGTAAGGCTAAAAAAGTAAAAAGTATTATAGACACTAGCTGTAGAACAGGGGTCTCCAACTCCAGTCCTGGAGAGCTACTAACCAGTAGGTTTTCTATCATACCCAGCTTCTGATGAGCCACACCTGTTCTCAGGTAAATACCAGGAACATGTGTGGCTCATCAGAAGCCAGGCAGGACAGAAAACTTACTGGATAGTACCTGTAGCTCTCCAGGACCGGCGTTGGAGACCCCTGCTGAAGAAGATGCATAAAAAGTGACTTTGTAGCGGCTCAAATTTTTTCCAAATTTGTCTCCGCGAAGTTTGGAGCGGCACAAATGTAACCAACAATCGATAAATGGATACTTTGTTAAATGTTTTGTTTACAAAGTATAATTGAGGTTTAAGAGGCAGGACTAGGCAGATAAACAGCAAGGTAGATACAGCCAAATAGTGTAGTACCTAAATCACAGATGTCATGGCCCATGGTTTTATGTGGCCCATTACGTGGTTTTAATTCACTATTAAATCTGGCCCGCAGGTCCATCTTTCGTTTCCCACTTTGTAATTTTCACTTAAGTGATCTGCATAGACCAGCTTTTCATGCAGATTAGCAGAATGTAGGTGATATATCGTTCTTCTCTCTCGTTTCTCTTTTGGCTCGTGTGGTTCCCTTGGGAGAAGCCCCCCTAGCCCTCAGCTAAATAATAAAGTAAGTGCCAAACGCACTGGCAGAGATCTGCAGAATGCCCGGTGGCATTACCTCATGCAGACAGGTGTACTGGACGTGGTAGGGTGCCACCTTCTCCTCCCCTTTGATCTCCACACTGATCTGGAGCCGAATAGCCCCGGACACCGCAGACTTGTCTGTCCGTTTCTCTGTGGAAAGATCCAGACATGCATGCATATACACTCTTTACGTGGCCATTAAAACTTGAACAACACTGGAACCATCACTGATCATCATCACCATCAACTCCCATGCCAATAAAGCATAAGTGTCTGAGTCACTGCCCGGAAATATGCCACCCACTCCCCTGATGCCTACATTATTATACTTATCTGAACACATGTCAGGAGTCCAAAATTTCTAATCAGAATGTGTCATAATTAAGCGGAAGGGGCACTGCACTTTAATTGGTCCAGGGTCGACACTTCTACCCTCCGAAAGAAGTGCTGATTGGGAGAGAGGACTGCTGCTAATTTCCCCAATTCAATGGCATTGTAGAGATTTTTTGGCCTGTTCTCTCAGGAAAGGCACAATGCATTGTTTTTGTCTGTTGCTTTTACATTCATACAGTGCTAAAGTGCTCTACTGGCTAAAAACACTAGAGGAGCCGCTCTGTCGGCAATAAGAGCAGGAGAGAGCACTGTAATGAATGAGTCATGACCGACACTTCCGGACACGCCAGACATTACCAGGAGGTATTCAAATGATCACTGAAAGTGCATTTCCAAGTGAAATTTAGTCCGACTTTGAATTCAAGCTACCAAAAATGTCATCTCTGAAAAAAAGTGTAAAACACGTACAGTAGCTTTACTAGATGAACACAAATCAAAAAGTCAGTTTCCACTGTGTACAATTTAATTTAGCTGTAGAAATATTACACACAGTTATATTCATACTTTCTGAAAGCATGACAAGTCCAAATTTTCCAATTAATATCTGATTAAAAAAACATCCCAACCAAACCTTCAGGCAATAAAATATCTACAGTTTAATTCAACACATATTATTATTATTATTATATATAAACTTTTAGATTTCTATCTGCTATAAAACAAGATCTGGCAAACTGCCTCCTTGTTACAAAGTATTTTTGTTTCTGAGTTTGTGGATGGTCAATTTGTGGTAGCAAACCCAAAAGCAACAATAATTTTAAAAGAGGAAACCTTTGATATTCAAAACCAGCACTTAATACTTGATATCAGAAGCATTTATGGGAAAGTAAGGTAGGTGAGATAAAAGGAGGAAAAACAGAAGACAGAGAGGACAGGTTTAACTGTTCCTGTCAGCGTGCTCATTTTTATGCATATTTAATATTATGTTTACTGTGTTTTTTGGGAGCAGATGTTTAAATGTACAGTAAAGATGCAGAGACCAGCAGGTGAGGATTTCAGTGATAGCACAGAAGGAGATGCCATTATTTAGACAGTATTAATGAAGACAGGGGAGACAGCAGAAACTTATGAGGGCCTGATGTCTGAGGGGACATTCATGCAGCTGAAGGAAACGGTAAACAGAGCAGGTTAGAGGCCGACCTCTGGCACTTAAAAGAGGCATATTAGCACCTGGATAAGTCCCATTAGCGGCATGCTAAGTAAGGAAACACAAGTACTGCTAGGTTAGGCTGCAGCTAATGTTTCCTGTTTAAATTGGTGACGATATCTGCTGCACAGGTATAATTAACACAAACTGATAATTAAAGTAAAAATACATTTAAGTTATTTAAATTCCTGTTGAGCCTTTTTAAGACTCAAGTCAGCACAGTCAGGTTGCTTCAGCCTTTCAGTACACTAAAATTAAAAAAATGAAAGGATTTTGTCCCCATAAAAGAATATCCCAAACAGCCGTCAATATCAAACAAAAATAATATTTAATTTTAACTGTCATTCATCACTGTACATTAATTACAAAGACACCATCACCAGAGATGAACCAATCAAAAGTAGTTTCTAATAATTAAATCCCTTGCTATCGGTATTTATTGGACATTTAGCATTTTTATGATTTAAAACACGTGTTCATAATAGTCACAATATAATTTGTGAATAATGTATATTTGTTTTCATGTATTTGCTGTTGATCAGATGAGGGGTCTGACTGTTTAAATGAAAATAGAAGGGGATGTTTGTAAGATTTTATTGAGCTGTTTACTCTCTTCAAATAACACTTAAAGTGACTCCACACTGACTATTCTACCTGTTGTTCTTTTCATTGCTAGTAGCGTATTCTGTGATATGTCGTCCCATTTATAACACTGGTAACCCGGATTTAGTAATCTTGAAAAGTCTGTATCTGGATCAGGGTAATCCAATCAAAATTTTGCTTTGAAAAACCAGTGTAAAAGTAAGATGAATTACCTGATAGCAAAACATGGGATTTCCAAATCGGGATCATTTTGATCCAGATTAAACTTTTTGAACAACTGGGTCCTAGTGTACATGTTCATCTGGCCAATGAAGCAGAAATATGATCCATCAAATGTTTTTTGACTCATCACATGACCTCATAAGGTCAAATGTCATCTGCTTTCACCCTTACTTTTGCTGTCACTAAGTGAAGTCGCTTCATTTTTGGGGAAATCTATCTCAAAATATAAGCATTTCCAGTTCGGGATGCATAAAATGCCTCAACAGAGTTTGAAAAAGATCTGGCAAAATTTATCATCTTAATGGGGTCAAGTGTCAAAACTGTACTTTTTTTATTACTATGTGGTGTTGTGTCAATTTTCTCAAAATGTAATCAGTTCTAGTGCTCAACCATACAAAGTCTCTGAAAAGTTTGAAAAAGATCCATCAAATGGTTCTTGAGATATATTCTTAACAAGGCTGGGGTAAACTGCTGCTAAAGCCATGTGTTCCCCAGGGTTCGAGTACATAATTCATGACTTGAATTAGATTGTGATAATTACCAATATCGGCTGATATACCAAAAAAGCTGCCATGATAAAATACTATCACCCAGTCATAGCGTGAGTTGACCATGCTAATCACTGCACCAGCATCCCTTCCCCCCCCCCCCCCCCCACTTTGGGACACTGCATCTCACCACAGCTTTCCACCTACCCAGGTTGTACCAGACATCCATCTCGCCGCTCAGAGTTCGGACCTCAATGATGCTCTGGCCCAAGAAGTCATCAGACTCTCGCTTCAGCCGCTGCTTGACACGCGACTTGATATCATCATCCTCGTCCCACACCCGCACCTTTATCCGGTCTGAGGAGTTGTGGCACTCACTGTGATAAAAAGGGAAAAGGAGGAATGCCAAGCTAATGAAATGAATCTCTTCTCACTCTAACATTCCCCTAAACAGCATTTCTCACTCAATAATGAGTAATATTATGCCACTTGTTCCTCTCTTATCTGACCATTACATTTACTGACTTTTCTGCATTATTACATTGAACAAACATGTACATGTGCATGCAATTACATACTCGTCCATAGTCTAAATAAACATTATACTGTACCTAACCTGGATTTTTAAGCTAAGAATTTTTCACATATGTACTTTAAATAACTAAAATAAACACATAAAATACAACAAAAGCAAAAAAACCTATATATCAATAAAGTCACTTTTTCTTAGGAGAATAACCTTTTCATCAAAGGATGCAGCTGAATTAACTCTAATCTTAAGCATGGCAAAGCAGCTGTGTAGAGGTCTACAGTACATATCCACCTTTTCAACACAAAGATGGCAGCACTGACATTTACAACACTGGGGGAACCAAAGCATTACCACCCTGAGGTGCCAGAATCCTGTCTTTCATAAGATATTCTGGGTTTACCGCTAGCCCAAAGTGGGGGAAGGTGTTTCTGTGTTTTACAGATACAAAAAACAAATTGCAAATCGCAACGTGAAAGATAACATGGGGATTTAGTGGACACTATTAGATACACCAGCTCATTAACACAAATGGCCTGCTCCTCTGATTAAAGAATCACAATTTACAATACGCAAACATTGCAGGCAGGGTTAAGAGTGTATGTTGCAGTTTTACTAAGAATCAAGATGAGCAAATGGCAGCAGGCTGATGACAGAGTGTAAATTGAAACAGCATCATGGTTTAATGTGGGGCAGCATGAAACTCAGCTGGGTTAAGGATCTATGCCTGTATGTGGAAGCTAATGGATTTTAATACAGTGGCCGTTGGAATAATCATATTAGTCTTGGGCCCTTTACCTCAACTGCTCCAGAGACACTAGATAGCAGCAGGCTGTATAAACCGATACAAACTCTAAACACAAGATATATCTAGGACAATATCAAGGGATTAAAATATTTACTTACAAATGAAACTTTTCCTCCCATACTGGGTTAAGGTTGCCATAGACGGTCTTTGTTCTTTTCTTCGTCTTGCCCACCTGGACCGTGACATAGGGGTCACTAGATCCTGTCTTATCCTTTGCCTGGAGCCCTTGGGCACAAAAGACTGCAAGAAGACAAAAGACAAACTAAACGAAAGTCTGGAGGCAGCAATCATTCCCAGTCGAAACATTCAAACGTAGGTGTTGTGAGAGAAAGGAGGTTCTACTAGTTACTTAATGGTCTATGTACCTATTTTAAATCAACAACCTTCATTATGCAAACCAAAATGTTTAATGTTTTGTTTGTTCAATTAAACTGCCAAAGATGAAGATCAGTGATATTTCAGGAGCCGCATTTCAGCGATTCGAGGATCCGTGTAAAGTGGCAGGGATGAGGATCAGCACCTCCAAGTCCAAGACTATAGTGCTCTCTTGGAAAAGAGTGAAATTCTCCTTCCAGTAAGGAGAGCCTGCCCTCGGTGAAGAAGTTTAATTACCTCGGGATTTTGCTCCTGAGTGAAGGAAGTGAAAAAATTGTGGTAGCATTTGATGTGTGACTGCAGTTTTACAGGTGCACGCTAATTCTAATTCTTTATTAGAGGAATGCTGAGGCTAATTGGCGTTGCTAAATTGCCCTTGGGTGTGCATGTGTGGGTGGCTGGTGTGTGAGTGTGCCCTGCGATGGGCTGGCCCCCCATCCAGGGTTGTTCCCTGCCTCGTGCCCGTTGCTTCCGGGATAGGCTCCGGACCCCCCGCGAGGTTGGACAATGGATGGATGTTTGTAATGTGGAGAAAAGAGAGGACCGGTTTTCACCTGACAGGGACCCTTACCTGTGATAGTAATCTTGGCAGACCACTTTGAAGTTCCATCCAGCACACTCTGCTTGATGGTCTTCATCTGCTGAGCATGGCTGACCTTGCTGATGGTAAACACATCCCGAATCATCTCAAAGATCTCAGGCTTGTTCCTCTCACGGATTTTCATGCGATCCTTCATTGCCATGATGATGTTCTGCGTACGGTCCTCTGCCCCATGTTTGCAACTCTTCTCCACCGCTCCTGAGGGTATTAATGATTTATGTTGTGTAAATATATGGTCCCCACAATGTAATATAAACATAATCCACACACACATACTTTTTTGAACAATATGTCATTCAAACAACTCGGTGTAAATTTGCATGAATTGGCAAATAAGCAAATCAAGCTTTACACTTTTAAAAATAAACTTGATATTTGAATACGCACATGTCTCTTAATGCATATTATCCAAGGTTTTTTTCTCCACATTGTGGACATACTGTACAGTATGTGTCTATATCTAGTTTAAACTAGTACAATGCCTCATTATCCAGGACTACAAATCCCACTCATTGCTTTAAAGTGAATTTTAAAATGGTACATCAAGAACCACAAGCACAAGAAGAGGCACTATCATGTATTTCTCTGGCTGTCATTTATGTTCTGAATGGACTTTCCTTCAAGACGCAGACCACAAATTATCTTAGAGAAGCTGATTAATGTGTAAAAGCCAGATTGCTCTAAGCAGGACTTCATCAAATATATAAACCGATCACAGCGTTGGCCTACTGGACTCCTGCCATCGGGCAGAGCCTGCCAGCTAATGCAAGGAAATACCCCCTTATTTGAATCTAAATGGAAGATCTACTGTTTTTTGTGGATCTGGCCAAAGCTTATTTTTGTCTAACTTTACATACTGCCAGTGATGACTCTCCACAAGCTGCAGTGTGACCTTATGCAGGTCTGTCATACCTCCATAACAGTAAGGGGCACTCACTGATTACAGCACGTTGACACACCCACCACATGACAAACCACCTCAGGGATGAGAACCTGAGTGCAGCCATGCGGCAGGTGATACCTCAGCACCACGCTAGTCTGAATAGACCAGTGTGAGGTTTTTCCAGTGGCTGGAGTGCCAATCCTGCCACCAGCCCCCAGATTTCCCTGTAAGCTGGAGGACCTTGGATGTAGATTAACATCATACCCAGGATGAAGCAATTGCAGGTTAAGGGCCCTGCTCAAGGGCCCAATGGACTAGGATTGCTCCTAGCATTCATAGGATTCAAACCAGCAACCTTCCAATTGCGGGCACAGATCCCTAGCCTCTAAATAACAGTGCTAGCACATTATTTCACTTTCATGTTTTCTATGCCTGAGTGCCATTTGTGCCCAGGGCAAATATCAATGAAGCATTCTGTAATTACTGCAGCCTTGAATTTCACCAAGGATGCAGCAACAGCACTGGCTGGCCTACTGACCATCAGCAGAGTACGTTACACTCCTTACTAGGTATAACGGACCCTTCACATCTTTCGTGAAGCAAACACGCCAGGGTCAAATGCTGTTCAAAAGTAAACGGAAGCGAATAAATGAGCTCCGGGTGACGGCGTGATTCGGTGGGTAGCTGCTGCCTTCCTTCTTATCCGTGAGGTCCCCCCCCCCCAACCATGACCAGGAGAAGCAGTCAAAATGAATGGAAATGTTCATCTCCTATTTACTAATCCATTGGTCTAAAGCAATCTATAATATTTCTATTGTGATTGAAGCACATTCATTGCATGCATCCCACATACTAAACTATGTACCTTGGGGCCATTTATACAATCTAGGACATATGTAATGATTAATGTAACAATTTAAAAATCATGCAAATTAATAACATTTTCAACTATTACTAATATATATAATAATTATTAATTCATCCAGCCATCTTTCAACATTGAATCCTGGTCAGAGACACAGGGGGTCTAGAGTTCATCCAAAAGAGCTTGCAATACAAGGGCATGGCCCTAGACAGAATGCCAGCCCATCGCAAACAACACAGAAAATTATATTCATTGCAAATACTTACAAATGATTTTAACAAAGAAAATCAATACTGAAATGTCTCTCCTCTATGATTAATGTCAGTGAGTGGCCAAAAGATAATACTGAGATGAATATGCTACAAACTGGATGTTCTTGTTTAGATAAAAAATTAAAAATATTAAAAAATGAACAAAGAACAACCATTTTACAAAAGTATACATGCAAAATGTCTTATAAGCAGTTTAAAAATCCTCAAGTTGGCAGTTATAGGAGCACCAAAGGACATAAAACCAAGACGTGGGCATTTATGCTAAGAAGAGCCACTTTTAATGTCTTTCTTGATTTGTTTCATATGTCCTTGTGCTGAACAGAGGTGCCATCTGTCTTAGCCATGACAGTGGACTGAAATATGAAAAAATCCCAAAGAAAGGCTACAGCCATAGGCCAAAGTGATCCCACATTAGCCTGCTGACAAAGCATACTGGGCAAGTCAGCAGGTCAGCGTCTCCCATTCAGCCCCGCCGCCTTTCTTAAAGGCCGATGCCAACTCACTCTGCAGACAGTCAGCGTTGAGCAGGTCCTGGCACTTCTCGTGGCACTTGACCCCACACTCCGTGCAGCGCATCCCCTGTCTGGCGATTCCCCACAGCAGCCCCTCACACTCGTAGCAGTAGGTGGGAGTGGTAGCTGTCCAGATCTCAAAGTTGTGAGGTGTGGTGCAGGATATGGGGTAAATGAGTGCCTGGAGGGTCTTCTTGTACACATGGTTCTTCTATAAAAGAACAAGCATTACGAAACAGTCATTCTATGATGGAATCAAATAGATTTTTAATCCGCATGCTATGAAGCACTGTCTCTCAACTGGTGGGTCGTGGGACTGTTTTCAGTGTGTCATGGGTTAAGTAGTTTTAAAAATAATGATAATAAATTACCATTAGCCAACCCCCCCCCCCTTTCCAAGCAGCAAACTTCACCTCTAACACCCCCCTCGTTCTCTCCAGCTGGTTACCAAACTTCAGCATTAGCACCCCCCTCCCCCGGTAGGCAAATTTTACTGCAGCAACTGCCAATCGACAACTTTTTAAAACGTTTTTTCAAACCTGGACCGCGACTCAAAGTGAAATAGCAACCTTGAGGCTAATCCAGGTGAGAATTACCACTGCTCTGGGTGTTGAGCTTTTTATCCAATATTACAAATCAATGAACACAATTAGGTGAGAAACGTATGTCACAAATGAGCTAGAGATTCAGTATATTCCACTTGACCAGAACTGGGAAAGGAGCTTGAGGAAGAACTGGAACCAGGTACTCACCAGTTCCTCATCCTTGACGGATGAGCGGGTCGCCATGGCGGAGGTGATCCCAGCCTTCCTGGATTGCACCAGGGACTACACACCACAAGCACTCGCGTTAGTTCCTCATCCTCTTTCCTCACCACCCACTACAATCATTCCTTTATACGTCTGCTAGTGAAGCAGAAACTAAAACTATATAGAGTGACAGAACTGCCCAGATCATTTGAACAAGTTCGGGTTAAACCTGCTACAATTTACATGGATGATGGTCCAGTATCTGTAAAGAGTAGAATTACCTTAGACTTATTTCCCAGTGTTCTTTACTAAAATCTGTTATTGCTAAATATTGGTGCTTTGACTGGTAGTATAACATGAAAAAAAACACTGAATCACTTTAGACTACCATGGACTGTATTCATTAATATACAATGTATTTTAATTGCACAAATACAGTATGCAGATATGTAATTGAAACAAAATAAATTATACAAAACATAATAAAAACAGTAGAAATGAGATTAGTTAGACGAGGAGACACTAGATGCATGGTATTCAAACAGAAAAACAATACCAGCAACAATTAAATTATTATTATTATTATTATTATTTAGGGAAAAAAACTAATAACTGCATCATGCAACATGTTTCTGCAGTTATTGGATTATCTGTTAAGAAGTATAACAGAATTTTATTATAAAGAGACAACATTTTCAGCACTTTCCCTATCCTTATTTTAAATTAAATTAGACAACTAAGGAATTTGAAAGCACTAACAAGCTCTAAATCTAAGAGGGTAAAACAGATGCTAAGAGCAACAGGGCTATAATTAACACAGAAAGACAGCAGAAGACAAAGAAACCCCTCCTTGCAGCTGCTGAACAATGGCTGTTTGGAAATTTTAACATTGATCTCTATTCCTTTTACCATAATTGTACCATCATTTACCATATAATCTAGAGCACTACTTCCCAGTCCAGTCCTCGGGGACCTGCAGAAAGTCCACGGACTGTCTGGCAGAGACTTGGGAGACAGCAAAAACGTGGACCATCTGCGGATCCCAGAGACCCGGGCTGAGAAACACTGATCTAGAGCAAGAAAATTTAGTGGCTTAGATCTAATTAAGGAAATGATATGACCATTACATTGTAGCAACTGGTGCCATGTAATGTATAGTAACATGGGTAAATCAGTGGGAGTGGCCAAACCATCACCAACCAGTCAGGGTAAATATAGAGTGCATGATGACAGTTCATGGACAAATGACTTCATCATGATCAATACCTTGGCTTCTTAAGAGTGATGGTTTTTACAAGGCTTTGCATGCGCTACTGGGTTGTAATGGAATTCCAAACTGAAAAAGTGGTTTGCAAAACTAAATATGAACATTCATTTAAAGTAAAATGAGTTTTAAATGGTTGCTACTGCGGATGGGGCCATTTTGCACTTACCATAGCCTGATCATGGAGAGTGTTGGCATCCAGGAAAGTGGGCAAAGGATTATTTTTTTTAATTTATCAGCAAAAACAAACGATTTATGATTGATACTCCCCCACAGCTCATTGGAGCCATTTTCAAGTTATGATATGGTAAAGTACAGTATATTGCAATATATGGATATGAAAGTTTTCCTCCTCAAACACCAGTAACATTACCATGTTTTACACTATAGGATTATTAGCAGGTAAGTATATATTCTCATATCTCTACTGTGGTAAATTGTCTAGTGCCACTGGACTCCAAAAGTAACGACATGTTTAATCCACTACCTTAGTATTCAAAGTCATAATCATGCAATTCAGCAGACACTTGGTTCCTGCTTTGCCTGCCACTGTGATCAGAGGTTCTGGAGATAAAGGGCACTCACCAGGTCACTGACCAAAGGGACTGGCTTCTTTTTGCGGAGGTCTGGCATGCTGTCGATCCCAAAGAGGCCACAGCCAACCCTATGTGCACAAAACCATATTAAATCAGCATCCCACATGTCCCCATTCATCTCACACATGGGTCATCATCCCTTTCGACTTCTATGGGATGTTAATGTTCTTTCAATTTCATTTCTCTGGCACAATACAATCTAAATTATAGAACATTGGGGTACTTGATCATTTCATGGAATATATTAGAAATTGCTCCAAATAATTCAGTTTGACGAAGAAGCAGTGTATCATGATCCAGAAGGAACCTATTCTCAAACTCACCCCGCTTTGATCCACGGCAGCTTCCCGTTGTCGCCATCTTCTCTTTCCTGAGCAGGTAAATACAAACCAGATACCAGACACATCACTCTACAAACACATCTAACAAAAACATTAGACATCTTTGGGAATAGTGTGAGATGTCAGGTTGGCTGAGTTTCATGTCTCAAGCTCATAAAACAAATCAATAAACCAGCTGAAAATATAGGACTATTTAAGGGACCATCTGAAAACAATCAGCCAGGGCAAACAGTCAATCATTGCTCAGATGAACGTAAAGGATAAACAAAGTACTGGAACCCGTATAAAAGAAAGTCAATGGTCATGTATAATCTTCAACCAAATAAAAATACTAACAAAAATGGAATTTAACAGGATAAGAAAAATGGCAATGGTAGTGCTCTCTCTAGAGCAGGGGGGTTCAATCCGCTCCACTGGGGCCAGAGCTGTGTGCAGCTGAATTCTTTCCCTGTCCCACCATACTTGACTCAGCTCAAGAGCTGTGTGGAAGTTAGCAAAGCATTTGAATCAGGTGTGTTAAACAAGAGAAACCCCAAAAATGGGCAGGTCTCTGGACCTCCAGGACTGAATTTGGACTCCTCTGCTCTAGCCATAGACATCTATCATACAATGCAGATACTGTCTGTAAAAAAAATAAGGTTTGACACAAAAACACACATTAGATGGGTAAAGCATCCAACACTGAATTACAAGAATCTCTTAATTCCTTTCAAATAAAACACAGGCAAACTGTGCATTTTAGGAAACACCTTTCAATGACGAAGCACAAGAGTAAGCAGGGAATAATCCAGAACAAAGGAAAAAAGAGACGACGACACACTCAGTTTAGTTATGACCAATGATAAGATGGTTTCATGCAACTTTTTCTCTTTTTTGTTTAGAATGAAACGTGATACACGTGCAGGGCTGACCGTGCAACTCAAGTCTCATGCAAGAACCATACATGGAAAAGGTAATGTTAGAATAAAATAAATAGCTTTAATTTTTTAAGTTTCAAGAGTAACCTGGTCATCTTCTCTACTCGTCTCTGGAAGAAAGAAAAAAAGATACAATAGAAAAACTGCTCAACACCGAACCCTTGGTCAGGTTTGCTTTATGAGAATAACTAAAGCCACAAAAAAATCATATCCTTGACCATAATATTACAGCAACAATGATGCACCATCCCTGAACAACACAGGAAAGTAATGACACTGTATTCCTGCTTTGTAAGAAAATATGAAAGAATTTTGGCAAGTGTATAAAGCAAATTTATTCAAAGGGTATAAAACACAAAATCTGAAGGAAGAGATAAGCCTTACTTAAAAAGCGGTAAATGAAACCACCTTTAATAAAGTAATTTTAAAAAGCTTAGGTAAAACGCAAAGAAAATAATAATATTATCCAACCACACATACTTTTACCATATAAAGAATACAACAACAACAATAATAATAATAAAATAATAATAATAATAACAACAATAACATTATTATTATTATTTGAGTGTTTGTGTCCTTGTCCATTATAAAGATTTAAAGTACCTGGGTTGAACTCCTCAGACAGAGCAGACTTTGGTCGCTCCACAATCCTGGATAAGTTCTGACGGACCTGTCTCTTCTCCTTTAGGACTTGCTGGAAGGTGTTTAGACAATGGAGACGACGTGCTTCTTGCTGGCTAAGGTCATTTGCTTGGGCACTGAGCCGCAAACAATCATCCACACTGGGGAGCTCCTTCACCAGCTGAGGCTCATCAGTAATAGCCTGGATCTCTGCTGGAAGTAGCTCACCAACAGTGCAGAGAGAGTGGGATGTATGTTGAGAAGACTGGAGCTCTGACTGCCCAGTAAAAATTTCAGGGCCTTCCTGGTTCTCCATTTGGGACATATCACCTTCTGAAATAAGAGGACCATCTCTATGCTGCTCAAATGGAGGTTCAAAAGAGAGGTAACCTGACACTACAGTGTCGCCCCCCTCCTTATCTGATTGGCTGCATGCCCACTGTACTTCAGAAGATGGCTGTCCGTCAAAACTCGAAAGAAAGTCCGCTGCACTTACGTTGTCCGGGCCGGGGGAGCTAGTTCCCTCAAGTTTTCTTAAAGCCCCTTTTAGAGCAGATTGAAAGGTTAGCACAGCTTTGCCAATGGTTTTCACGTTGAAGCCCACATTGGGGAGCTCAGAGGTTTCTGACCCAAGACCAGAGTGAGCAGAGTTTAAACAGAAATAGCCTTCCTCACCAGGTGCTTCTGCATCATAGCTGGGGTATACCTGGTCAGCCCAGTCTCTCTCCACACTTTCTGTTGATCCTGTATCTTGAGTGTCTGCTAGAGGGCAGAGCTCACAGTGCTGGCAGTAGTCATCACAGTCGGTGAGGATAATGGTGGAATTGTGGCTCAGGCTCCTAGAAGGTCCACTAGCTGTCTCATCTGCGTAGGCTTCCATGGTGTGGTGTCCAGAGCTTCGTGAGTACAGATAACTGGCTGGGCCTTTGCATTCCAGGTTGGGATTGTGCATTTGATGATGAAGAGCTGCCTCTGGGTCCTTCAGGCGATGCTCTGGAGCCCTCCAATCAGCCAGGCTGGGTGACGTCGATGGGGAGTTGTAATGGCGGCCAAAAAGCAGGGAGAGGTGCTCTGAGCTACTCAGCGAGGACTGTCCTGGGGTGCTGCTGGTATCCCCTCCACCATACTGGTCCCAAAGATCTGGCTCTTCAGAACGTTCCCCTTCATCTATGCTATTCTGCTGAGAATAGACACCCTCCTCACTCCAAACTGCCTCACCACTCAGACTGTGCGGCATTCCTGAGGCAGCCCAGCTTTTATATTCCGGATGATGATGGGAACACACTACGCCTTGCCCTACAGGTTCAGAACTGTTCGACTTTGAGCTGTTACCTGAAGACAGTGAGCTTGTACTGGGGCATTCCTGGCCATGCTGTTGTTCCAAGTATCCAAGACTATCCTTTTTTTCTACTGAGCAAGATACACGAGAGCTCTGCACCAATGTGCCCTGATCCCCTTGGCCGTAAGAATTGGAAACAGACAACTGGCTACAGGAGGAGTACATGGGTGATGCCTGAAATGAGGAGCCAGTTCGTCTCATGGGACTTTTCTGAGTTGATGACAATGTGTCATTTTTGCGATACGTGTAATACTCTGAGCGTGGACCGCTAGGCATTCTCCAGGGGGCCACCGGTGCAGTACAGTCCTTGCTGAGGCTCCCACAGTGGCTTCTGGGCCTCTCAGGGTGAAAAGGCCCAGCCGTGGCCCCTGAACGAATAGACTCGATCTCAGTCAGCACTGCATCCACACAGCAAGAAACCTCATCCACAGAGCCCCGCACAGAGGTGAGATACTGCCTCAAGTCCGAAATTTCAGCCTGAATCTTATTTATGCCCCGTAGCTCCTTCAGAATATGCTCGACAATGTCACTGGATCCAGGCTCTTCCTGCTTCCTGTCAAGTTCTGCCTCACTGGTGCTATTTGAGGGGGTGAATGATGATCCTCCAGCAAGGTCTTTCCCCTGTCCCAGGGCTCCTCGTCTGTCCTTCTCATTCAGAATAGAGCCAATCTCGTTCAAAATCATGTCATCATGTCGGGGTCCATTGCAGGGGATCTTAATGCTGCCCTTCTTGTTCTGTTCTATTTTCCTCGCTGAGGATGTGCTGGAGGTGCCCGTGTGACCCTGATCATTTGGGACATGTTGGCATGAAAATCCACCAGTTGAGGAAACTCTCTTTATGCCACAGACAAACATGTCCTTCTCAATCTCCACAGTGGAGTGACAGGAGTCATGGGATGAGTGTTCCCCAGCCCCCTGAAGGAACTTTTGGATCTTGCTCCTAAGACCCTGGGCCACCTTTGGGTTCTGCATCCTTTTTTTAGCCAAGTCCTTCTTCTTAGCCCTCTTGTGTTGAATGATGCCTGTCCCATCTTGCCCGTTGAAGCGATTTCTGGAGAGCATCCTTGCTCACTGAAGCATCAGTATATTCCTCAGGTGTAGACCATAGCATTTGGTCCCAGTTTCATGTCTGTATGTAGGACTGCCATTTCATAATGCGTGCACATGGCGACTGTTCCACCCTACCCAGCAGCCTTTTCCATGACTAGCAAGACAAAGAAAGCACAGCCTGAAAAAGCAAGTATAGTTTGCTTCTGTGGGATGATTCTCTTGCATTTTAGTTCATTGTAATCATGCTGCCATCAAAACTGTCCGATTATATAGAAAGGTTCAATAGCAGACTACATCCTTCCATATATTCAAAATACAATTGTACTGCATCTCTGGATCGTTCATGCATAAAATAAAGAACATCTAAGGCTATCCAGTCATTAATCATCACTTGTCTAGCCATATTACCCCCTATTATAAAAGGAGAATTGTGTATCCACCTTACAAAAGAAGAAAACTAACCTCTTCTAGAATGCAAAACAAAATATGTAACATTTTCTGAAGTACAGCGCACAAAAAATGAAATTATGAGAATTTCATCTGAAATTCAATATAAGGCATGAATGTCTAACCCTCACCACTACAGGGGAAACAATAAACCCAAAGTTAATTTCATGGAACACAGAGCCCTTGAACCACGCTTCACATTCCTGCCTGTTTTAATATGTTTTGATGACAAAAGTGTATTGCGTGGGAATCAGTGTTGGCGACACCAATCCCCACTATGCAGCAGAACACAAACATTACGGCCAGAAGTGGCATAGAAAGACAATTGCCACCCCCATTGCTTTTCCCTTTTGATTTTCTTCCATTCAGTTTCCTTGTGACTGCATGCAAGCATTTTCTACCCTTCATAAGTTGCTGTTTATGCTCCAACACATCATACCTAAACAAATCTTTATTTTGCAGTTTGTCAATTTCTTAAGTACCTTAAGAAAACTAATTTATGAAGAAAATGTTCCATGTAAATCTCACACTGACCATTTACAATCTTTAACTTTAATTTTTAATGTTTAGCACCTGTTCTTCTCTGTGATCTGCTGTAACAGCCACAAAGAAAGGAAAATCCAAATTTAAAAGAGCAAGGATCAGTTTCACC